CCAAGTTATCTAGCACACAGCCGGTTTTATAATAAAGTGTTGAATATCTTGTGCAGTTTATTGAATAACATACTGAAAGTGAAAGACAGAGTGGTTGTAAGTGTACTGGTTGTTTCCCCTCGTGATCGAGGGGCTGACTGGGAGCCGCAGCTCACTGCTGCTGCCCACCATCACAGGAAGAGTTTATTAGTACGTATCGCTAGCCTGGGAAAAGTACAGTTTCTACTGAGTGTATATCCATTTCGCACTTTCATAAAGTCAAAAAATCATAATGGAACTATCCTAAGTTGGGGACTATCTTATTTTATGATATATATAATCTTAGCAGCGGCAACATATATATATATAATAGAGAGAGAGAGTTGTAGTATATATGATACTATTTTATTTTTGTGCTTCATGTGTTTACCTAAGGGCATGTTAAAGGCATGTTAGCAGAAGTTAGTCAGGAACTAACTTCTGTGTCAGTGAGGCTACATCTCTACCAGCCAGCGTCAGTGCCCAGGTAGCCAGAGCACGCTTCTTTGTCTGGCCTGTGTCCCAGAAGGACACATGGACTTTGGAGGCCTCTCAGTAAAGCTGAAAAAAGTAAAGTTCTGAAAAAAATGCTTAGAGAATGTGTTGCTTCTGCATGTGATTTTGGAAGTGGTACGTCTTCCAGTAGTGAAATGGTTCAAGATAGAACCCTGAAAGTGGCCTGTGGCAGAAGTGGAGTGAAGGACAGAGTCTCTTGAGGCAAAGGGCACCTTGAGGTCGGGGTCAGAGGTGGATTGCCCATGCCCATGTAGGGGTGAAGTGAACAAAATTAATGACAGTAGCTGAGAGGGGAAGGCAGACTGAGCCGGAAGAGATGACAACTGAGAGGGTAGGCTGATACAAGCCTCTTGAGATTCCTGCAAGAGGAGAGGAGTAGAGTAATTGCCTGTAGATGGTGCTGGAGAGCAGGGAGGGCCCTGAAGTATGTGCCGTGATGAAGAATAAATAGCCTTTAATAGGACTGCAGAGGAAGCGATCAAGAGATGGTCATATGTTAGTGCAGGCCAACAAGCAGAATGTTCTGAAGAAGAAGTTGAGGATTCAGGGCAGCTGGATCTTAGAAGGGAGGAGATTATTATGCCAGATGAAGGGATATGTAGAGGATTATGGAATTAGAGCTGCAAGGATGACAAGTCAGAGGAAGGCTGGACTTCTGCTGTGATGGATGTAGTGGAAGGGAATGTGGGATTCATTTTAATAGTTGTTCAGTAAACTAGTACTATGTCAGTGCTTCTTGGACTTGGAAACCCAGGAGTCTCTGGATGCCTTCTCAAAGGGCAACAGTTTACTAGTGAATTTTTAAAATTTGGATTGTTATTTTAATGATAATCTGAAAACTGATTTCAGTGCCCAGAGTTGAGTTTATTTTTATTTGAAATTCCACCAGGTAGTCTTATACATTTATATGAAATTATAATAAAAATAATTTAAATCACTGCTATGGAATCATGAGAATTTGAGAAGATTGGCTAGATATTATGTAAGATTCCTACCAATTCTAAAATACAATAATTCTGTATACTTTCCTGCACATTGAATACAATTTTTAGGTGTCATAGCCCTCATTATTTTTAAAAGTTAAAAATACACTACATGTGATACACATAAAGTGTAGGATATTTAGAAAATCCTGATTTTCTTTAGAAAATAAATTACCTATAAAGTTATCACATGGAAACATTCAATATTAAACATGTGATGTCTCTCTGGATTTCTGTTTATTTCTCTATCTGTATGTGTATGTATATGCATCTCAAGGAAGAGATGATTTTTAACTGAAAATAGGGTCATGGTAATCTATTATGTATGTCTTACCATGTCAGTGTGTCTCAGTTCAATTCAGTTCAGTTCAGTCTCTCAGTCATGTCCGACTCTTCACAACCTCATGGACCACAGCATGCCAGGCCTCCCTGTCTATCACCAACTCCTGGAGTTTACTCAAACCCATCTCCATTGAGTTGGTGATGCCATCCAACCATCTCATCCTCTGTTGTCCCCTTTTCCTCCTGCCTTCAATCTTTCCCAGCATCAGGGTCTTTTCAAATGAGTCAGTTCTTCACATCAGGTGACCAAAGTATTGGAGTGTCAGCTTCAACATCAGTCCTTTCAATGAACACCCAGGACTGATTTCCTTTAGGATGGACTGGTTGGATCTCCTTACAGTCCAAGGGACTCTCAAGAGTCTTCTCCAACACCACCGTTCAAAACCATTGATTCTTCGGCGCTCAGCTTTGTTTATAGTCCAACTCTCAAATCCATACATGACTACTGGAAAAACCATAGCCTTGACTAGACAGACCTTTGTTGGCAAAGTAATGTCTCTGCTTCTTAATATGCTGTGTAGGTTGGTCATAACTTTTCTTCCAAGGAGCAAGCATCTTATAATTTCATGGCTGCAGTCATCATTTGCAGTGATTTTGGAGCCCCCAAAAGTAAAGTCAGCCACTGTTTTCACTGTTTCCCCATCTATTCACCATGAGGTGATGGGACTAGATGCCATGATCTTAGTTTTCTGAATGTTGAGCTTTAAGCCAACTTTTTCACTCTCCTCTTTCACTTTCATCAAGAGGCTGTTTAGTTCTTCTTCACTTTCTGCCATAAGGGTGGTGTCATCTGCATATCTGAGGTTATTGATATTTCTCCCAGCAATCTTGATTCCAGCTTGTGCTTCATCCAGCCCAACGTTTCTCATGATGTACTCTGCATATAAGTTAAATAAGCAGGTTGACAATATACAGCCTTGACGTACTCCTCTTCCTATTTGGAACCAGTCTGCTCTTCCATGTCCAGTTCTAATTGTTGCTTCCTGACGGGCATACAGATTTCTCAAGAGGCAGGTCAGGTGGTCTGGTATTCCCATCTCTTTCAGAATTTTCTACAGTTTATTGTGATCCACACAGTCAAAGGCTTTGGCATAGTCAATAAAGCAGAAATAGATGTTTTTCTGGAACTCTCTTGCTTTTTCGATCATCCAGTGGATGTTGGCAATTTGACCTCTGGTTCCTCTCCCTTTTCTAAAACCAGCTTGAACATCTGGAGGTTCATGGTTCACATATTGCTGAAGCCTGGCTTGGAGAATTTTAAACGTTACTTTACTAGGGTGTGAGATCAGTTCAATTGTGCAGTAGTTTGAGCATTCTTTGGCCTTGCCTTTCTTTGGGATTGGAATGAAAACTGACCTTTTCCAGTCCTGTGGCCACTGCTGAGTTTTCCAAATTTGCTGGCATATTGAGTGGAGCACTTTCACAGCATCATCTTTTAGGATTTGAAATAGCTCAACTGGAATTCCATCACCTCCACTAGCTTTGTTCATGGTGATGCTTCCTAAGGCTCACTTGACTTCACATTCCAGGATGTCTGGCTCTAGGTGAGTGATCACACCATTGTGATTATCTGGGTCATGAAGATCTTTTCTGTATAGTTCTGTGTATTCTTGCCACCTCTTCTTAATATCTTCTGCTTCTGTTAGGTCCTTACCATTTTGTCCTTTATTGAGCCCATCTTTGCATGAAATGTTCCCTGGGTATTTCTAATTTTCTTGAAGAGATCTCCAGTCTTTCCCATTCTGTTGTTTTCGCCTATTTCTTTGCATTCATCACTGAGGAAGGCTTTCTTATCTCTCCTGGCTATTCTTTGGAACTCTGCATTCAAATGGAAATATCTTTCCTTTCCTCCTTTGCTTTTTACTTCTCTCCCTTTACAGCTATTTGTAAGTCCTCCTCAGACAGTCATTTTGCTTTTTTGCATTTCTTTTTCTTGGGGATGGTCTTGATCCCTGCCTGCTGTACAGTGTCACAAACTTCCACCCATAGTTCATCAGGCACTCTATCAGATCTAGTCCCTTAAATCTATTTCTCACTTCCACTGTATAATCGTAAGGGATTTGATTTAGGTCAGTATGTCTATTCCTACATTATTTGTATGATCTGCATGTTATTCATTATATTGATGGTCATAATTTAGTCAGTCCCCTATTTGGAAATTTTAGATTGTTTCTGGTCTTTCACTTTGATATAACACCTACCAATAAAAATCTTTCAATTATGTATTTTAGTACTATTACAATTATTTATTTATATATCTTACTACCAAAAAAGTCATTCAATTTAATCATAGCCCAGATGTAATTTGGAGTCACGATTTATCTTTTTTGGGGTAAGTATTGTAGGTTCCTTGGCTTTAAAAAACACATATTTAGTGAAATAATCCGTGTTTTTGGTAGTCCAGAGTTTTATAAACTGCTTTCTTTGAATCCTGAAGGTCTCCTTTGGTAAACTTTCCCTGCTGCTCTTTTATTTAATTCCTGTAAAAGATTGTCTTAAAAAAGTAAAGTTTCACTGTTGAAAAACAAAACAAATCAGTGACTTAAACCACTAACCAGTCGCTGGCTCAGATGTGAGGTTAAGTCTCATGATTAGTGGCTGAGATGGGACCAGAACCTCTATTTCCTGACTCCTAAAAAAGAATTTTAAAGTACATCTTCTAGAAATAAGACAAACCAAAAAAAGTATTCTAACCTGGAATCTGGATTGCTTACTTGGAATATGTCTTCAACATGTCCTATATTTGTGTGTTATCCTTTTTTATTTCCACTTCAACAAATTGGAATTAAAACATTTTAGAAGACACTAATCATCAGCTTAACCAGTAATTAGCATTAACGAGTAGAGAGAAAATTTAAGACAGCTGCCAAGTTGACCACTAAAATGAGGTTTGATTTTCTAGTATTTGTCATCTGTGGTACTTTATAATTATAATAATAGCAGTGTAGTTACACTCTGATGGAAAGTTGACAGTTAACTTTTTCCACTTATCAAACTTAGGAGCAATTCTGAAAGTTTCTAGTTTCCAGGTAATTTATCATTCAAGTGATTAAAAGCTATTTTGGGCCACAATTATGAACAATAATAAAATTTTACATGTGGATGACAGTAACACAGTATTCTTTCTTTTTGAATTTCTAGGGAAAGACTACTATTATTCTAAGGTGTCTTGACAGGTAAGTGTTAAACTTTAGAATACACTTTTGCTTATTCTTGTTGTGTAAGGCAAGTTAGAATCTAAAAGACATATTTCCATTTTGCGACCTAAGCAAAATATTCTAATTCTTGTGAGTCCATATTATGGCTTTTACAATCTTCCTTTAAAGATGAAACCAACAATAAGCAGAAAAAAATTATATAGGATTAATAATGGATTTCCTTATTTGGGGGAAGAAATTAACATAATTACTCAATCTGTAATAGATAGTACTTACTTGTTTTGGCTATGCTACTCTGATATTTAAACTTTTTAAATTTTATCTAGTTCATGATTGTTTGAACATTATAATCTTAGAATTGCTCATGGGTATGCTTTTGAAGCACATTATTGGTCATCAAACTGTACATGTTGCCATTTGTTTTATGTACTTCCTAGCCTTCTTTACCGTGGAAGCATGCCACCAGGTTAAGGTAAGGTTAAGGTGTTTCAGGAAGTTGGTAAGGAAAGTCTTCTTGGTTTGCAGCCAAACCTGATGCCCAGGTTTGAGCTATGATTTCAGTTGAGAACTGCATAAAAAATCTTCTATTGGTGTCTCCATTAAATCGATAGTCATTAGGTTCCCAGCTCCGCACATCGAGGCTGAGCATGAACCTATTTTCTTTGCTTCCCACGTGGCCTGGATGCAGAGAGCTTATGCCCTGCCACAGCCACCAACACTGCCAGCTCCTTCTCTGCTCCCCGAATGGTGTCACTAGGCGCTGCCACTGCATGCAGGTGCCATTACTCACCTCTGCAGTTGCTACTAAAGTCTGTTAAGATGTTTTTTTTGAAGGCTTATTTAATTTTTGGATAAATTCTTAATCATTTTTCTCTCAATGTGTTACACACAGCGTAACTTCTCTGCTAATACAGTTTTTAAGAAGCAAAAATAAGGTAAGATGATAGCTTAAGAAAATGATGGTAATAATACTTGTCTTCACTATACAGGGATGAGCCACCAAAACCAACCTTAGCTTTGGAATATACATATGGAAGAAGAGCAAAAGGACATAACACAGTGAGTGTCTTTTTGGTGATGTTCTACACGTGTGTGGAGAAGTGAGGATGCTGACATTGTTTTACATTTCCCATCTTTTCCACAATCAATAAACATATCCAAGAGTACACTTCCTAGCTATGTAATACTTTTAAAGTCAAATGCAACTCAGCACAGAGGAAGCCACCCAAACTGTGAAAATATTTTGGCCTTCTCATTTGTTATGTCTTAAGATGCTTGAATAGGATTACCCTGTAACTTCAGTGTATAGGCTTTGGGCATATTCTTTCAAATGAGAATAACATTGTGAGTTATCTTGTCTCCCCCCAGAAAAATCTGCTAAAAATATACATTTGACCTGTTGGATATTTATGAAAATATACTGCTTAAATTCCAAATTATTAGCAGTTTTACAAATACATCTTAAAGTTGGTAATCCTATTTGAGACCACAGGCCCTAACTGGCCATAATCCTATTTTCACTTGTGTTACTTTATCTGTAGAGGAGAGTTAGAAATTGTTCAGGATAGAGGGAGAACTTATAGTGTATGTTAGGAGAATAAAAAATTCTAAGTAGCATTCTCTTTTGGTGTTCCCATAAGAGGTCATTTCTTAAAGTTAGGTGTATGGAGAACAATCTAGAATAAAGAAGGTCCCATATCTCCTGTAACTCCCGTGAAGTGAAGTGAAGTGCAGTGAAGTCGCTCAGTAGTGTCTGACTCTTTGCAACCCCGTGGACTATAGCCTACCATGCTCCTCCATCCATGGGATTCTCCAGGCAAGAATACTGGAGTAGGTTACCATTTCCTTCTCCAGGGTATCTTCCCGACCCAGGGATTAAACCCAGGTCTCCCACATTGGAGGCAGACGCTTTAACCTCTGAGCCACCAGAGCTCAATAACTCCCATAACACAGGCAAATTTTTATAGATTGATCCAGCCTAAGTGTTTGATCATTAGACAGTATATAGAGTTAAAACTGGCTGTTGCTGCTTCCTGGATTCACCAGTGCAACTTGGTTATTAAAACTATGGAATTGAAAAGAAAAAACAATATATTGAGATGTGGGAGAACTTTATTTTTGTGAATCACATAAATTTTTGCATGAGTGATAAGCCTAGAAATAGGCTTATCCTTGTTGTGGGAAACTCTGAGTTAACTTTCATAAGCTTAACTTTTGAGAAAAGCTCTGAAAGCTTTTCTTCATCCAGTTGTGAATCAAGGGAGATTTTCTATTGAAAACTTATTTTTCCCCATAAACATTAGAGATTCAAATACCAATTGCAAAACAGTTTCAATGCTTGAGATGATAACCTGTCAAAAAGCAAAATATATTTATCTAAAACTGCTGTAATGACCATCTGCCTCTTCCAAGTTCATGGTATTGGGAACATAAAAACTCATGTGATTTCTTTTTCACCTGTTTGTTTCTGCTAAACTTTACACTATCAAGTTGGGCTTTTCTGTATTCATTCTAGAAGAGTCACATCTTTCTCAGATTGAAGGTCTCCTAAGAGTTCTAAACAGAAGAGCTTTATCAGCTCCTCACACAATCATAATATCTTGAAGGCTCTCAGTATCTGGCTGGAAGGAGAAATGCCTTCAGCTAGCCACAGTCTAGGACAGTTGCCATGGAGTAGATGGTCTTTTTTCCAAGCTACTTGGCTGCCCAGCCCTTTTAGTCCCCCTATAGTTTGAGTTCTCTGGAAAGGGAAGCAGTGGTAGAGAGTCCTTGTCCCCCCCACCTACCGCTTGTATTGCCAGTGCCAGCCTGTCCCTGTCCCCAGGGGTGTCAGGCCCAGACCAGCTGCTTATACTTCTGCCCGGTCAATCCTGATCTGCAGGCCAGACTGCTATCTGTTCTCCCCATTTCCTCTTGTCTTGTCTTTATGTCTGATTTATTGTTTGAGCTTCTGTCTTCTCCCTCAATTAGGATGTTTTCCTGTCCAATTGTTTAATTCTACCTAAAATTATAAGTGTTTTCAAAAAGATAATTCCAAATGTGTTCAATTTGTTAATTTTATTTCTAATGTGAGTGTTTGCTACCTGTGATATTTACAGAGTTGGGGTGCTGTTTAATGCCTTCTATTAAATTAGGGTAGAATCAGGGCATTTAGTACCCGTGTATATTCTTAATGTTTCATTTTTGTTCTTTGGAATAGATGTTTTAGTGCATTTTGAGGGATGGGATCAATAAAGGAGAAAATTTTGACTGCCACAAAGGGTCTTGAGGACTGTAATATCTTGTATACATAATTATTACTGGCTGGTGCTAATGAACTATAAGAACTATTTAAAATGTAAAAACATCAAAGAATATTAATATGAAAAAAACCCTGGTTTTTTCAGCCAAAAGATATTGCTCACTTTTGGGAGCTAGGTGGAGGAACGTCTTTACTGGATTTAATCAGCATACCAATCACAAGTGACACCTTACGGTAAGTGGAGCCAGTGAGGAATAGTGGTGAGTAAGTATCCAGTGGAGGCCACAGGATGAACATGAGGTTTTTGTGAATCAGAATTTGCAGGGATGGTTTTATGTTGCTGAAGATTTACCTTCACTTCCTTTCTATGTGCCTAAACTTTACTGCCCTCAGAGATTTTCAAAGAACCAAGGTTCTGGTTCCAGATCAGGAAAGGGGTATGTAAAGGCTGTATATTGTCACCCTGCTTATTTAACTTATATGCAGAGTACATCATGAGAAATGCTGGGCTGGATGAAGCACAAGCTGGAATCAAGATTGCTGGGAGAAATATCGATAACCTCAGATCAGATGACACCACAAGTGAAGAAGAACTAAAGAGCCTCTTGATGAAAGTAAAAGAGAAGAATGAAAAAGTTGGCTTAAAACTCAACATTCAGAAAACTAAGATCATAGCATCTGGTCCCATCACTTCATGGCAAATAGAAAGGGAAACAGTGGAAACAGTGACTTTTTCTGGGCTCCAAAACCACTGCAGATGGTGACTGCAGCCATGAAATTAAAAGATGCTTGCTCCTTGGAAGAAAAGTTATGACCAACCTAGACAACATATTAAAAAGCAGAGACATTACTTTGCCAACAAAGGCCTCTCTAGTCAAAGCTATGGCTTTTCCAGTAGTCGTGTATGGATGTGAGAATTGGACTATAAGGAAAGCTGAGTGCCAAAGAATTGGTGCTTTTGAACTGTGGTGTTGGAGAAGAATCTTGAGAGTCCCTTGGACAGCAAGGAGATCAAACCAGTTCATCCTAAAGGAAATCAGTCCTGAATATTCATTGCAAGGACTGATGGTGAAGCTGAAACTCCAATACTTTGGCCATCTGATACAAAGAACTAACTCATTGGAAAAGACCCTGATGCTGGGAAAGATTGAAGGCGGGAGAAGAAGGGGATGACAGAGGATGAGATGGTTGAATGGCATCACCGACTCAATGGACATGAGTTTGAGTAAGCTCCAGGAGTTGGGGTGCTGCAGTCTGTGGGGTCGCAAAGAGTTGGACATGACTGAGTGAGTGAACTGAACTGAACTGAAGGTTCTGGCCTGTGTTGAAGTGAGATAGTTGGCATCCAACTAGTAACATATTTTGCAAGCCTGCAAACAAAATATGTCAAATAACACTTGGGCAATATATTCACTTGGCAAAAAGAAAAAAAATAATTTCAAAAACTAAATTTTAAAACTCAATTCTTTTTAATACCCATCCAAGCATGAGCTAATTCAGTCCCTGAGTTTTTCCTGCAACTGGATATTATGTCTCCTTTAAATTAATGGCTTCCTTGGTGGCTCAGGTGCCTGCAATACAGGAGACCTGGGTTTGGTCCCTGGGTCAGGAAAATCCCCTGGAGAAGGGAACGGCTACCCACTCCAGTATTCTTTCTTGCCTGGAGAATTCCATGGACAGAGGAACCTGGCAGGCTGCAGTCCATGGGGTCACACAGAGTCAGACATGACTGAGTGACTAACACACACTTGAATTTAATACTAATTTAATACTAATGTTAATATCACTGAGGGGCTTCCCAGGTGTTGCTGGTGGTAAAGAAACCACCTGCCAGTGTAGGAGACAGAAGAGACATGAATTAGATCCCTGGGTTGAGAAAATCCCCTGGAGAAGGGCATGGCAACCCACTCCAGTATTCTTGCCTGGAGAATCCCATGGACAGGGGAGCCTGGAGGGCTACAAGCCCATAGAGTCACAAAGAGTTGGGCACAACTGAAGCGACTTTGCACGCACACACACCAGTGAAACCTCATGCAGTGAAAGTTTATGAGTTAGAAGAGGAAGAAAGTGGCTATTTGCTGACCTTAAAGAAAAAGAACCTAGGGGAAAACCTCAAGCTGTTTGGTGATGTTTTCCTGAGAATGATTCCCATGTGTTGGCCAAATCAGATGTGGAAAATTGTGACATTTCTCACAGTGTTCCTGGGAACCCATCTTAGCCAAAGAAAACAGAATTTAAATATATGAAATATCTTACTGCTGTCAGAGTTTAACACAGACCATTGCTGCTGGACCAGATACAAAGGGCTTGACAATTATTTGTCAAATTTCAGCCATTAAGATCTTTAGAATTTTTTCTTATTAACAGGATAATTGTTTTTCCATAACTAGCTAGTAATGTTGGCTTTCTTTGTGCAGGGATTTTTTTTTTCTTTTAAAGAAATAAAATTTAGTGTCTTTTACTTATCACAAAAATGTTTTATGCTCATAAGGAAAACTTGGAAAAATAGTGAAACGTACATGGAAAGTAAAAGCATCTGTGATCCCATGAAACAGGACTATTCTCAACATACTGAGGTATTTCTTTCCGTGTTTTCAGTGTTGTAAATATACTTTGTACAGGTATGAGATACTGTGTATACACATTTAGATCTTGCTTTTTCGCTTAAAACCACCATTTCCCCCGACATTATTTTTTTTAGAATCATGGGATTTTACAGCTGTGTAGTTCTCATTTGTCCTCCTTTAACAGAGACAAATAATTGAAGCTGCCTGGGAATTAGGGCAGCTCCTGGTGGCGTGGCTGAGAGGAGATGACGGGGCGGGAGCAGCTGAAGGAACAAGAGCTGCCGGCCAGCCTGGCCTGAGGCAGACAGGAGTCAAGAGGCCGGGAGCGCTCTCCCCAGACTGTGAGCTGGCTCCAGTTCTGGCCCTGTTGTCACATCACCTTTCTGTGTTACCTCACTTCCCTTCTCTAGACCTCATGGGCTTGTAGAGATTCTGGTTTCTGCAGGAAGCCAAATCTTCCCACAGTTTCTTCACTGTCTCGCTCTGTGAGTTCCTGGTCTTCTTTCCGTGGAATCCCGGAGCAGCTGGAGCCTGCCTTGGGAGAGAAGAGGGGTCAGGGTGATGAACAGAGGGCTGGGGCGCCACAGGCCTGGGTCCAAAGCAGCTTGCTGAGTGGTGGACGAATTCATGGAAAACATTTCACTCCTCATTAGTCGCAAATCACAGAGTGTTTTGTGACTGGAATTAATTCGACATGTAATTTCCTTGAGTTGGACAGAGCCCAGCCACCTTAGCAAATGCTGTTAGATACTGTTTTTCTTTAAAATGACTGTTCATAGAATAATTATAGATGCATTGAACATTTCCACAGACCTTAGATAATTTGTAAGAGAGCATTACCTGTGGTCCACTTCCCTGTTTTCAGAGGTAGTGTTTTATAAAAAAACTTTTTAGCTGTCATTTGCTATGAAGGCAAAAGTAACACAAGTATTTGCAGTGCAGTGGAAACATAAATTTTAACCTTAGAAAAAAGTTGAATAATCCATTTTCCCTTTGATTAAAACAAAGTTATTTTCATTTGGAAAAAAATGATACACTTTATATATACTTTACCACAGTAAAAAAAAAAAAAAAAAAAAGCTAAACCATGGTCTTTTTTTTTTTTTAACATTAATCATGCTAAAACTCTGAAAATAAAATTAGTTTCCTTTATGTGTATATGTGTGTGTGTATATATAAAGCTGTTTCTGAGCTTTTTCAAATGAAAGATATGGTTGGCTAGACAATTTAATGGCATAATAACTTTATAGAGAATCTTAGGTAATGTCTAAAAAGACTACTTTCTGGATTTAGATCTATAGTCTAGAATTTAGCTATTGCTTTGCTTTACACAAAATAGCTGATTTGCTCAAACTAAACAAAATAATTGTTGATGTTTAGTCACTAATTTGTCCAACTCTTCTGTGACCACATGGACTGGAGCCCGCCAGGCACCTCTTTCCATGGGATTTCCCAGGCAAGAATGCTGGAGTGGGTTGCCATTTCCTTCACCAGGGGATCTTCCCGGCCCAGGGATTGAACCTGCATCTCCTGCCTTAACAGGCAGATTCTTTAGCATTGAGTCACCAGGAAAGCCCAGATAACTTGACTATATTATAACCAGCATATATTATAATTCCTTGCTATTTCTGCTAGCAGAATGTTTGCTCTCTTGATCAAAGATATATTGACCCATGATTATGGCTGTACAGACTTATTACAACCATTCTCTATAATACTCCTAGATTTATGTTTGTTTTTTAATTGTAAAATAACATAAAATTCACCATTTTAGCCATTTTTAAGTGTACAGTTTAGTGACATTCAGAATTATTCACATTGTTTTGCCACCATCACCACCATCCCTCTCCAGAGCGTTTCGACTTCCCAAATTGAACCTGTACCCATTAAACAATAACTTCCTACTTCCCCCTCTTTCAACCCTTAGCAACTACCATTCTAGTTTCTGTCTCTATGATTTGACTACTCTAGCTTCCTCATGTAAATGAAATCATCCTTTTGGGTCTAGTTTATTTCACTCAGCAGTGTCTTTAAGATTCATACATATTGTAGCATGTGTCAAAATTTCCTTCCTTTTTGAGGCTGAATAATATTTCATTGTATTTATATACCACATTTTGTTTACCTGTTAACCCATTGATGAACATTTGGGTCATTTCCACTCTTTTGCAATTGTGAATAATGCTGCTATGGACATTGGTATACAAATACCTGTTTGAGTCCCTGATGTCAAAACACCCAGAAGTGGAATTGCTGGATCCTCCTATAATTTTTTGAGGAACCACTGTACTGCATTTCACATTGTCTCCTCTGCTTTTTATACCATTGGCAATGTCCCAGGGTTCCAATTTCGGTCTATTCTTTCCAACACTTATTATTTTCTGGATTTTTAATTTTAATTTTTTATTGTAGCTATCCTAATGGGCAAGAAGTGGTATCTCATTGTGGTTTTGATTTGCATTTCTCTAATGATAATACTGTGTTTATTGGCCATAAGTTTATGGCCATAAGTATGTCTTTAAATACAGAAATATGTATTTGAGTTCTTTGCCCATTTTTAAATTGGGTTGTTTGTTGTTGCTGAGTTTAGATTTATGTTTGATATACTTAAACGTGAGCCTGTGTGCATATGGTCATGGTGGTGGAGTGTGTGCTGGCCTAGAGTGAGATAGCAAGGCCTTTCAGAGAGGTAGCAAGGTACAGCAGAAAACCATGTAGCTCTGGGTCTAAATACCAGCTCTACAGTTCACTAGTTATATGAGTCTGTGCCTCAGATTTCTAATCCATGTAATGGCCATCATAACATTTTCTAGGAAGTCTTGTTGGGTTAGAAGGAAATAAGCTATGTAGACTCCAGGCAAGATCCATCAGTAAATGTTTTCACCACATTGTTATATTGTTGCTGCTGCTGTGATTATTATTTTTGCTTCCCTTCTTTGGAACACATAGAAAAACTGAATCTAAACATGGCACTGTTGGATCCAATTGCACATTATGTGACTGGATTATTATTAGTTCAAACAAAAAGTTTGGTTGTAACACTTAAATATTGCTAGGGAAAAGCACTGGAATAAATAAGGCTATAATTTCAGCATATTTTTCTTAGAAAATTGCTATTTTTTTTCTTATGTGTTATTCTTAGAAAATGCATTTCAGTATAGTAGGGTTTCAAATGGTAATTATTTTTAGTTTTTTTTTTTTGAAAGATGTTTTTATTTCTTTAGGACGTTTTCTATTGTCCTTGTTTTGGATCTTTCAAAACCTAATGACCTCTGGCCCACCATGGAAAATCTGTTGCAAGCCACAAAACTTAATGTAGATAAAGTGATAATGAAACTGGGGAAGAAGAATTCTAAAGCAGCTTCTGAAATGAGACAGAAGATGTGGAGCAATATGCAGAAGGACCATCCAGTGAGTTGCTGCTGAGATTATTCTTGGAATTCTTAGCCCCATACATAGTTAAAGATAACATCACAAACAATTTCTTTAGATTTTTATGCATGAGTTGAAATTCACTTGATGTGGATGAACCTGTTCACTGGAAAATTACAGCAATTTAATAAAACCTCAGAGCAAAACAAGGAAAAAGATTTCATATGTCTTCTCGTTAGACATCTACCGTGATTGTTATGGCATATTACACCAATCAAAAGGAACAGAGTTTTAAAGTAGTGATTTGATACTGATTTTATAATCTCTGTGACATGAAGATACAAAACCAGGTTGTACAAATGTCACCTGGCAAAGACCAGATAAGGATACAGTTTTAAGCAAGGAATAGAGTTTCAACAGCCTTTACTGTCATTCTATACATTTATTGTCTGTCACATAATCAGTATCTTTTTATCATCTGATAATTAAACTATCAAGTTGCAATATGGTAACACAAGTCTTTTATGTACAATCAGAAATGTCATCATCTAGAAAACTAAGAAAGGTATTTTATATTGCCCAGAGTTTATATGAGTGTGTTTTACAAAAGGAATATCAGACAAAACTGATAGTTTTGGTTCCCATATATGCAGTATAAATGTTATTATAACAAAGTTAATACAAATAACTTAAAAAAAAACAGGAAGGCAATATATAAGAAAATAAAAGAACAGAACATGAAGAATAAATATGGTAGCTTAGGGAATTGTCATTTCTAGTTTTATGCTTGAGAAATGTAGCTTCAAAAATTAAAATTTGGAGCAACCTCTGTCAAGCCAACAATGTTAACACTATGGGCAGATTTAAAATGACCTAAGTCGTAGAAATTGCTGAATACATAGTAGTAAACAATTACAGTGAATCAATGAAATATGTTTGTTAACAGGATCGTGAATTAATTGACCCATTTCCAATTCCTCTGGTCATAATCGGAAGTAAATACGATATTTTTCAGGTGAGCTCTTCCACTTCCAGTTGAGCTTGTTGTACATGCTTGCCTAGCCTTTATAGGAGAGAAACCAAATAATGAAATGAGAAAAATGACTCGGGGCAGGGGAGAAGTCAAGGAGTCACACATCTTAAAGATTTTGGAAAAGAGAATATAGTTGGGAAAGAGAAAATAGGTGAAGAACAGTAAATACAGTAGAATGATGGGGATAAGGCAGAAGATTTAGAAACTGAATCCAGTCCAGTCACCAAGGGACAGGACTTAGTCCCAACTTTTAAATTGAAGAAAGTAGAAAATTGGTTTCTTATCTTTGCTTGTCAGAGAATCCTTGGGGTATTCCACTTGATAAAATGTGTGCTTGTATCTAAATTCTATTGAGCTAAGTGTTTAAACAAGGAAAGATCTGACATTGTAGCTCTAGAAGGCTGCAGCTATTGTTCAGCTTCTGCAGAACCAAATGCCAAGGTAATGGAATCCTACTCAAGGTACATTTCAAAAAATAAAGAAGAAAAAAATCTATTTCTGTATTTAATAATTTGTACTTTTCTGCTACAGATACTAGTTCTCTCAACTTTTTTCTTTTTAATAACATACGTCTTCAGGATTTTGACTCTGAGAAGAGGAAGGTAATATGCAAGACACTTCGATTTATTGCACATTATTATGGAGCATCATTAATGGTTTGTATGTTTCCTATCCTTTGGGTTTGAACAGACAGTAACAAATTTGGAAAGATTACCAGCTTGGTGCACAATAATGAATGTGGATGCTTTTGCTAATGCATGTCATTCTCTCCTTTCCATTCCCATTGTCCTCAAAGCCTCTTATTCAGAGCTTTTATAATGTATTTCTGGAACCCACATTGCTAGATAGCCTACCATTTCCTTGAAGTGAAAGCTCTACATTTTTAATAGCCATAAATCCCCATCATCTTAGAGATAAATTGGTTATTTATCTATTCACCTTTTAATTTTCCTTTAAGAATTAGAATCTATATTCACTTAAAAGAAAACTAATTTTTTTTTTCAAAAAAGCTTTAAAAATGCTATTTGTTGTAGAGGTTAAAAATAATGAACTTGGGAGTCATGCTGCCTGGATTCAAATCTCAGGGCAACCATTTACTAGATATGGGGTCTCAGATAAGTCACTTAACCTCATTGAAGCCTTAGTCTCCTCCAGGGTAAAATGGACAGAAATAGTCCTACCTTCATAGGGTTGTTGTGAGGGTTAGTAGCAGGAATACACCTGAAACCCTTAGCACAGGGCCTGACACAAATCTCAATAAAGGCTGGTTCTTGTAACTGTTAACATTATTTTCCACAGCAGGACCAAATGTTGCAAGATATCCTCTAATGCAATAAAAGCATTTTTATTTTTAAAAAAATTCCTCACATTTGAATGCTGTCTTTTGCCCTCTAAATCAGAGTGCTCAGAGGAACCTATAGACAACATGGCCTAGTCCCCAGCTTTCATGGCTAGTTATTAAGACTGAAAGTAATAAGTATGATCTGGATTTAAAATTCTTATACTTTCCAGAATACTCCAAATACATTTTATTATGTATTTTCTTAAAAATCATTACCTTTTATGTTTGTACTGTATCTACCTATTTGCATATTAGGTTGACAAAGTATTTTGGAAATATTCTTTTTTTAAAAAATATTTTTCATATTTTTTCCCATTATAGTTTATTACAGGATAGTGAATATAGTTCCCTGTGCTATACAACAGGACCTTGTTTATCCATTCTGTATATAATAGTTTGCATCTGCTATTCCCAAACTCGCAATCCAGCTTTCCCTCACCCTCTCTACTCTGCCTTGGCAACCACAGAAATATTCTTTACTGTTTGGAAAAGATATGGAGAATTCAAAGTACAGAAGCAAAGACCATGGATCTTGTAGTTTCTTACTTTTGCTTCTAGATAAAGCTCCACATTTGCTTCTGTTTAGTTAGCTGAGGAAAATCCCTCTCTTTGTTTAGAAACAGATCACGTTTGATGATCCATCAGTGCCCAGTCTGGTCTTATCAGTAAGAATGTAATAATAGGTGAGTCAGATCAACCCAGGCCACAGCAGACCTGCAATTAATCATGGCTCACAAGACCCTAGAAGTCCAGGGACGAGGGAAAGGATCTGAGAATCTTTCCTGTCAGCTCTCAGTAAATCAGAGGTTGGGTTTAGAAGAGCACTCTGGACACCATGGAAACCATACAGCTTTTCTAGCTCCCAAATCAAGAAGAGAGCCGGCCAGAGCTAACAAAGCCCCACCTTTCAGTTTCCCTTCCCCTGTGACCCTGGAGTCCAGACTTTGGTACTTACTGCTTTCCAGGTTCAGTGATATGCAGCAGTTTTGTTTTTTTTTTTAAACATAGTTTATCCTTTATAATTCAGTCAAGAATACTAATTCAGTAATATGAGCAATATAATCAAGTTAATAAAAACAAAAACAGGAAAAACATTGGTAAGTAGGACCAGATTCAGTGGAGAGCCCCCAGGATGGTAGGGGACTTAAAATTATGATAAATGAGGAACAGCATAAAATGATACTCTGGCATTTGGAATGTGATAACAGTCTTTAAGTATTTGAAGGACTGATCCGTGGGAAAGGGGTTAAATGTATGTTTCCTTAGAGTCAAGAACAAGGAATCAGTGGGGTTTAGTTCAAATTAAGAAAAAAATTTCTAATACTGCCATTATCTGAAAATGGAATGAGTTGCTTTTGGAGATCATGAATTCCCAGGCATTGAGTTCGTAAGTAGAACTCTACATATATTTGTGGAGGATGTTTTCAAGGCAATTGATGCAGCAGATAGGGGTGGGGATGGGGTTGAGTTAGAAAAACTTCTCATGTCCTCCCAGTCCTGCAGTCCTATGAAATACACTTGTGATGAGTTTTTTTTTCCTCACCATATAGGGAACATAATAGAGAATACAATGATGATGATAAAAAAGTTGTGTTTTTAAAATTCAGCTGAGGCTTTCATATTAGAATATTGTCTCAATAGAAGCAGAAAATTGTTTCAATTTTTAAAATGTATCAAATCTTGTATATTCACATGAGTGTTCTCCCTTGAATAGTTCTTCCCCCTGGAAAGTTAAGTGTTAGTCACTCAGTCCTGTCCAACTCTTTCCGATCCCGTGGACTGTAGCCTGCCAGGTTCCTCTGTCCATGAAATTTTCCAGACAAGAATACTGGAGTGGATTGCCATTCCCTTCTCCAGAGGATTTTCCAGTCCAGGAATTGAACCCAGGCCTGAGCTAGCAGGGAAGCCCTTTCCCTGGGAACCTGTTCTTAATCTGAAGTGAAAGTGAAAGTCGCTCAGTTGTGTATGGCTCTTTGCGACCCTCCATGGACTGTGGAATTCTCCAGGAGAATTCTGGAGTGAGTAGCCTTTCCCTTCTCCAGGGGATCTTCCCAACCCAAGGATCAAACCCAGGTCTTGAACTAATCTTATCCTGAACACTGATCTCTTTACCTTATAATTACATTTCATTTTGGTTCAAGATTGTCTTTCCTACTTTCATACATCTTAGTCATTCTGATTTGGCTGGGTGACCTTGGTATTTCCAGACATTCAAAATTAATCTTAAAAGGTTTTGTAGGTTATGTAAAACCAGCCATATGTCCTGGTTTTCATCTGATTTCTCAGCTTAATGATTATTAGTACCTATGCAGTTTCATTCTTCTAAAATATTCTGGTTATGATCACTTCATTATAGACCACCACTGAGAATAGTCAGTAGCTTACTTTGCAAACTCTAAAGGCAAATCTGAAGAGCAGTTTTAAAGCTGTTTTAGTGAGTATCAGTATTGTTAGACTAGTCTGCAGCTCCCACATTAACTGCTTTGAAGACAGCTGTATGCCTTTGGATGGAAAAGTTATTTATGATATATACCTCCTATTTTTTAACCAACCAGATTGCATTTTGGTAATGATTACGGTCCATTTGTGGGAGTAGCTGAAATGATTAGTGCATAAACACAAGTCCATACAATAAATATATCATGCACTCATGAAATTTGAAGAGTTAAAACAAATTTATCAAGATTTCTTTCTTTTCCTTTATTGAGGTTTTGTTTTGCTTACTCAAACACAAGATTTTGTTGGGCAGATAAATAATAATCTCTCTGCAGTCTGTACTTGTTGAAAGCCATGGTTATTTTACCTCTTTCTGTGATTTGAAAGTGGAGCATGTAATTTATTGTCCTGATTTTTTTCTTTTTAGTTTACCAGTAAATCAGAAGCTCTATTACTAAAAATACGTGGAGTTATTAACCAGTTGGCATTTGGCATCGACAAAAGGTACCATTAAAATATTTGTTAATATCTTTTTACTTTTTATTTTTTGGGGTATTCTCTCATCTGATTATTGTTCTCACAAGTCTCTTTTTTCTTGACTGGGAAAAATGCCTCAGATGACTGTTCTTAGATAATTTCATATTATCTCTTGCTTCTTATATTGTTTAAATATTTATCATATTTTACAACTAAAATGTTATATAATAGTTGGCAACTAGAATAAAATAATCATACTATTATACTTGTTTCCTTGATCCTGTTACTTCTTTTCCCCTTATTTTAGTAGCTCTCCCTCTATTATGATTTTTTTATATTGATTAGAAATGGAATTGATCATTTTAGTAAGTATTTTTCTTAACCTTGCTATCTTTCTTGGTTTTGATTTGAGGTAGTTTGGGTCTTCTTTTTCTGCTATAATACCTTTATTAGCTCTATACTTTATTTTTTGAATCGGTTATGTTAATAATCATTCATTCATTTTGAGAAATGCTCTCATAGGGGCTAGATATAAAACTTGGCTCTTGTATGTACAGTAGGGAATGGCAGGATATTTGATTGCTAAACTAAATTAGATTCTTTTTTCTTCTTATCCGTGTAGCAGATCAATATGTGTGGATCAGAATAAACCTCTGTTTATCACAGCAGGATTGGATTCTTTAAGTCAGATAGGTTGGTGAACTTATTAAGATTGTTCCATTTGTTTTAATTGCTTATTGATTTTATCCGACTGCCTGTTCACTTCATCTCCAACATCTCCTAACCCTAACCACCATTTCTGATTTCATTGTTACTGTTATGTCTTGTGTATTTATTTGTATACATTGTATTGATGCAGAATGCATCACATTGACATATTTGTGATGAAAGGGATGTTGGCACATGAGCAACTGATTTTGATCTCAATACCACTAAAAAAATTTGCATGTACTTTCTTTCCCTTACTGATTTCCAGGTACTTTTAAATTTTAGCTCCTTGGGTTTAGAAGAAAATCAGAAGGATAAAGTAGTCAGGAAATTCAAAGTTATATATTATAAGTAATGATGAAAAATATAAGAGATTCAAGTGTTGGAATAACTCAAAAAGAACACAGTTGCATTAACTAGGTATGCCTTAATTGTTATGTAAATACTTCATCTAATAGGATGTTTCCTATACCTATACCTAGACTCACGAAGCAAAAGAAATTTCAAGAGTTTATATGGACTCACTGTGTTGCTGAGCAAGCTGAGGCTCCAGGAGCCTGCTAAGGCAGACAGCCAGCCTTTGAACCTTGGTGCTGTTTTTCCAAACCCTCCATAGCCCCCCAGTGCTTCTACGGAACCATCCCTGTCCGTCTGAAAGTGTAAAAAAGTGTACTTTTTTACAGACAAAATGATGGATTCGATGACCTCTCAAGGTCACTTCCAACATCCAAATTCTATTCTTTTGATTCTAACAACTGCCACCAAGCGCTCTGAGTTGGGCTTAGGCCTGTTACTAACTTCCCAACAAAAAGTAGGGTGGAGCGAGAGACAGGACTGCTCAAAGACCACTGCAGAGGATCCCATTTCTTTCCCTTTTTAATCATCTGTGAGGTTTTTTTCCTTCCCTTTGCCCCTCCTTTTTGCATCTGTTGCATAGAAACAGAAAGTGCCTTTGTACCAATTACTAGGCACTAATTTACGGTCTTCAGTGGGCGCTGGGCTTGCTGGAGAAATATTAGGAAAAGGTGGGAGGGTCGCAACAGAGGCCTGGAATGCTGCAAGCTTTTTCTCCAAGCCTGAGAGCAGCCAAGGGGAGGGAAGGAAAAAAAAACAACAGGGGAAAAAAAAAGTTTATATGATCAAGCTCCCTGTCTTCTCACAGAAGTAATTTCATTGTAGAGATTTTGGGGCCTAGCAACTCTGTACTCTGGGGTTGGCATAGTTTGGTTTTAACACTAATGGACAGTGGTTTTCTTTTTTCCCACCCCCCCATTACTCTTACATGCTGAAGCTGACTTCAAATGTAGAGATCTTTGTCATGAGATTATAGATTGAATTGGAATGAAAAGAACAGAGGTGTTAATGAGTGATTATAAAGACTGATTTTTATAATTATTATAATGGCCAACTTAATTTCATTAGCAGTGAGAATCACTGTGTGTAATGATAGAAATGCTGATGGAAATCTTTTGCCCCTGTAAGTAGTTGGAGGTCAGCAAAGGGTCGAAAAATACTGAATTTAGAAAATTATGGAGCTTGGACCTCATCAAAGTTAAAAACTTTTGCTCTTAAAAGCCCATGTGAAAAAAGTAAAAAGATCTGCTACAATCTGGGAGAAATTTTGAACTACATGTTTTACAAAGGACTAGTATCTTGAATATATAACAGTAAAAAAAAAATCCAATTAGAAAATATATAAAAGATATGGCCAGATATTTCACTAAGGATACACAATAATGGCAAATAAGCACATGAAAAGATATTTAATATCATTGCATGAAGGAAATGCAAATTGAAACTACATTGAGATATTACCACACACTTATCAGAATAGTTAAAATATAGTGGTAACACCAAATGCTGGTGAGGGGATGTGAAGAAATTGGATCACTCATACATTGCTGGTGGGAATGTAAAATAGCCACTCTTTTTTTTTTCTTTTGAATTTTTAATTTTGTATTCTGGAGGAGGGCATGACAACCCACTCCAGTATTCTTTCCTGGAAAATCCCATGGACAGAGGAGCCTGGTGGGCTACAGTCCACAGGGTCACAACGAGTTGGACATGACTGAAGTGACTTAACATACATTAACATACATTTTGTATTGGAGCATAGCTGACTAATAATGTTGTGATAGTTTCAGGTGAACGGTGAAGGGACTCAGCCATACATATACATGTATCCATTCTCCCCCAAACCCCCGCCCATCCAGGCTGCCACATGACATTGAGCAGAGTTCCATGTACTATACAATAGGTCCTTGTTGGTTATCCATTTTAAATATAGCAGTGTGTACATGACCTTCCCAAACTCCCTAACTGTCCCTTTTCCCGAGCAATCATAAGTTCATTCTCTAAGTCTGTGAGTCTCTTTTTGTTTTGTAAGTTCATTTGCATTATTTATTTTTAGATTTCACATATAAGGGATAGCATACAATATTTCTCCTTCTCTGACTTACTTTACTCAGTATGATGATACTGTCTAGGTCCATCCATGTTTCTGCAAATGGCACTCTTTTTAGTGGCTGAGTAATATTCCATTGTGTGTGTGTGTGTGTATATATATATACACACACACACCACATCTTTATCCATTCCTTGTTTGATGGACATTAGGTTACTTCCATGTCTTGGCTATTGTAAACAGTGCTGCAGTGAACACTGGGGTGCATGTGTCCTTTCAGATCATGTTTTTCTCCAGAAAAATGCCCAGGAGTGGGATTGCAGGGTCATATGATAGCTCTACTTTTAGTTTTTTAAGGAACCTCCATAGCAGCTGGTCAACCACTCTTGAAAACAGTTTGATGGTTTCTTATAAAACTAATCATGCAGCTACAATATGACCTAAAAATTGCACTATTTGACATTTATTTGAGAGAAATGAAAGTGTATGTTCACATGAAAATCTGTACATAAATGTTCATGATATCTTTATTTGTAATAGCCCAAAAGTGGAAACAACCCAGACATCATTCAACAGGTAAATGGATAAACTGTGGTATGTCCATACCATGGAATACTAACTACTCAGCAATAAAAAGGAACAAAATATTGATATATACAGCAACTTGGGTTACTCTCCAGAGAATTATACTGAATTTTAAAAGCCAATCAGAAAATGTCACATATAATTCTATTTATATAAAATTCTGGAATGAAGAAATTTTAGAAATGTAGGAAAGATTAATGGTTGTCAGAGGTTAGGGACAGAACTGTAGGTGGGGAGGGAGGGAGGGAGAGGGATTGAGAAAAAGGTGGGTTTGGTTATAAAAGGGCAACACAAGGGATCCTTCTGGGAATGAAACTGTTCAGTGTCTTGACTGTGGTAGTGGATACATGAACCTACAAAGGTGATAAAATTGTGTACAACCTAATACACACACACACACAAGTGAGGACAAGGAAGAAATTTGGGAAATCTGAATAAGATTGGTGGATTTGATCACTATCTTACCCACCAAAGTGGTAAGGAGGCCCTGAAAAATAGAGTGAAACAGTGAACAACGTAGATGCTAGAATAGAAAGAATGAGAAGTCTCAGACTATGCATTGAAAATGGCCAAGAAGTGGCAGCGTATTTTCAAATTTTTCATGTTAATTTTTAAATTATACAGGCAATGCATAAAGACATTCTACTTATAAATCTTGAAATAGTACATATACGATCAAGTTTAATATTCCATTTTCCATGTGAATGTGGTATAGAAAAAAACTGTTTGTTTTAATACAATTGTATTATTCTGTGTCATTTTGAAGTTTTCCTTTTTTACTCAATACACCTTAGTGCTTTCTCCATATTAATGCTACATATAGGTCTGTTTGGAAGTTTGACTGCTGGATAGTGTTACAGAGCATGGCTATGCGTAGTAAGTTAGTTCACTCTGCCTCTATTGATGGACATTTCAGCTGTGGCCATTTTTTCACTAATACGAATAATGCGGCTCTTTGAAATCCTTAATGCATGTATGCAGGTATTTCTAAGATAAACACTGAAAACTAGAATTTCTGGTTAATAGGATATGCTTTTTTTAGTATTTTCATAGTATTTACTAGTGCCATATTACCCTCCAGTATAGCTGTCGCAATTTGCATTCTATTCAAGAGCATATAAGAACATCTGTTTCCTTAAACATTCACAAGCACGTGAGAATGTCATGTTTTCTATTTTTCCTGAGCATCTACTTAGGTGCATGGAAAGAGAATTACAATTTACTCATTAGTCTGTCTCCTCTCCCTCTGGTACTAGAATCTGTCCCAGCGGCCTTGTTAACACTGGGTTGAGGTAAATATTAACAGTGATTATAGAAGAAAAGGAAATGAGTGATCTAAGATTTAAGTATCATCTGTTTTATTGATAGTAATAGTTTATAATGTTTTAGTCAATGCAGTCATTAGAATTAAAACTTCCAATTTTAGGATCTCCTCCTCTTCCTGATAATGACATCGGAAAGTTTCATGCCCGTTCGCCAGTGGAACTGTGGAAAAAGGTGTATGGAAAGCTCTTTCCACCAAAGGTATCTATTTCTCATTCTTTTAAAGCAAGAATTTTCAGCACTGTTCAACAGGTGGGCTTCCCCTTGTGACTCAGCTGGTAGAGAATTCGCCTGCAATGCGGGAGACCTGGGCTCGATCCCTGGGCTGGGAAGATCCCCTGGAGAAGGGAAAGGCTACCCACTCCAGTGTTCTAGCCTGGAGAATTCCATGAACTGAATAGTCCATGGGGCTGCAAAGAGTCGGACATGACTGAGTGACTTTCGCCTTTTCGCTTTTGCTGTTATTCATCAGTTATTGGGGAATGTTCAAACAGGCCTATTATAGTAACTTTGTTTTCTACTTGCATGCTCAAATCAATTAAACACTTGCTTAAAATCTACTGTATGTATGACCCCATGGTGCTGAAACAATGGGTAAGACATTTTTCTCACTCTGCTTCCAAACAGAGCTCTTTCTGGTTGTTAGAGAAGGGAGAAACAGCATCCAAGAGGGAGAGAGAGCCTGGGGAATTTGAGTTGGCCTTCAGTGGTGATGAAGGCTCAAAAGATCAGCCTTCACTGGCTGCCCAAGAGACAGGAACTTGGCTTGTGATGTGGATGATGGTCATTGAAAGTTTTTGGTTATGGGCATGAAATGACTTAACAAATTGTGATTTCAGAGTGTCAACACACTAAAAGATGTCAAGGACCCTGCACAAGATCCTCAGTATGCTGAAAGTGAAGTTGATGAGATGAGAATTCAGAAGGATCAGGTATTATCCTAAACATTTATTTCATCTTGAGTTTTATCACAGAAATATCCTTAGAATTCCAGGAGTTTTTCTCAACTTATTTACTTTTTCCTTTCAAAATTATTTAAATAGTATATCTTCACTATATATAGATATATATAAATTCTGATATGCATAAAGGAGGAACTAAAGATCACATAACATTCCACCACCCAGAGATGACATAGTGTTCACATATGCTTTTTGGAGTTTCCAGTATACTTTATGTTGAAGATGGGTAGTGATTCTTACCTCACTGTTGGGAAGACACTTCCATAGTATTCTTTTATTTGTGGGAAAATTTAGAAGGTTTTGTTTTTTATTAGGACATTTAGATATATCCATACTTTTCTTGGTGGCTCAGACGGTAAAGAGTCTGCCTGCAATGCGGCAGACCTGGGTTCGATCCCTGGGTTAGGAAGATCCCCTGAAGGAGAGCATGGCAGCGTACTCCAGTGTTCTTGCCTGGAGAACCCCCATGGACAGAGGAGCCTGGCAGGCACAGTCCATGGGGTTGCAAGGAGATGGACACGACTGAGTGACGAAGCACAACAGCACACATACTTTTCTCAGATCAGAAAGATTAAGGACTGCCTAATCTGGAAGGACACAGTCGACAAAACCCAGGAACTCTCAGGAAAGTGATTAAAAGTGGAGACTGCTTTCCATATATGTACACAGATAGCATCATTTGTGATACACAGCCTGATACAAGAATGTAAGAGTTGGTAAATTTTTATCATGATCCAATATTGAGATTTTCCCAGATCTCCTTTTAGTTTGATAAAATGAATCATTGTGAAGACTATAACCTTATATAAATAAGCACAGTAAATGGAATGCCCTGACCACCTCTCAGGTGGGATTTGTAGAGCTGTGTAACTGTTGCTAGGATAAGCTGAACACAACCACCCACTGTGAGCAGGGACCCTTTTTCTTTTTCTCTGCAGTCGCCTTTCACCTTCTGGGGCCCTAGAATAAGTAAGCAAAACATTTTAAGTACAGAAGACTTCTGAAAAACATGTCATGAATATTTAGAGGGTGTTGTAGCTGTAGCAAAGTGAGAGGCATGTTTGCAGGAACACTAAAATGACCTCATGTAACCCTTATTGTGTTTTGCAGCTTGGCTCTAGAGATTAGTTGGAAGTCATCTCTGAATTAATATTTATCTAGGAGTTAGTGACTAACTGCCATTGTTGATAAGATTATCTGTTTATATTATACAATGATCCCTTTTATATATTTATTATTAAAGGGCAAGAGTATTTCTGAGCATCTTAAGGTTTCACATTCAAATCCATTTTCCCTAACTGACCTAAAACCATATGAGTTTTGAGTAGAACTGGAAAGCAGCCCCACAATACCTGTATCATTCTTCCCTTGTACCTCACTAACTACCACATTCTCTGGACAGATTTTTTTTTTAGACTCACTTGAAAAGTTATGATGTCCTAATTTTGCCTCTAAAGCAGTTTCATTCATGGTATTTTAGTAGATGAATTGATTTTAGTTTGCACATGTAGTACCCACCTCTGCTTTAAAAGTCATGCTAATGATTAGCAGTTGATACTCAATTATTTTATAGATGTTCACTTCCAAATTTTGGCATTCTAATATCCAAAACTTCATATATTCTTTCATGTTCTTCCAAAGCCGTTTCAGGGCCTTACACTGTTTCCAGTTGTCTACTGATAAACACAGAAGCTGATTTATGTGTGAGAAAACTCTGTAGATTAATTTTGAAAAGCCCCTCTTTCCTACTAAACATTTAACAATACATTTCCATTTTTTATATGGGTAAGATAGTCAATGCCACTTTTATTAACACAGCCTATAAAAGAATTCATCTGCCTTAGGTGAAAATCTATTCTACAGCTCTTTCTAAAAACACTGCCTTCTTGATCTTTTGATATGATTATTGCTATACTAACATTTTTCAGTGAAAATAGCATTGTAATCTTTAGATTTGGTTTGCCTATTAGAAGAATAATAATATCCAACTAAAAGAAATGTCTCTCTCAAGGTTTTCCATAATCACACAAAATTATGTCCCTACCTAAAAGCAACTGGTAAATACTTGACGTCTATACTGTGTACTATGTGTCTGCATACCTTTAACCCAAATAGTTACTGATTCTTGTACTTCTTAGGAAGAAAGATGACATCCTGTTTCACTGAAAATAATCCAGTTGCATATGAGTGGAGGGCTGGCCCTGGGCCTGTCTGATCCTCCATTTGACTCCCTCCCATCCCCAACTCTCATTATTAGTGGCTTAAATAATCAGGCATCAAACAAAAAGTTTGGTACCCTTAAGCTTTGGCAATGAAATCAGAGCACGCCACTTCTAAGATAGGCTAATTCATGAGTCCTATTCAGTTCCTCTAATACTGAGCCTTTAAAAAAGCCCAAGTCATGTAGAATCATCAGGCAAGAAAGCTGTGTCCCTTTAAACCACACTTCACTTAAACTGTACTTCTGTTACATTATCCTGCCAGTGAGGTGGGGAGGGGGAGGCACTGAGACACAGTATTCCATAATGCCTATTGTAAGTCCTTGGTAGTAGAACATGTCATTTATGATCACTGTCCAGAATCCCTTTTGTTCCCAGTCCCCACTGACGCATGAAGATCCTCACAGAGACTGAAATTAGTCCCCCCTGGTTTGAGGATCAACCTTAAGACCCCTTTTCACCTTTTCTGCAGACTAAATGTCTTTCCTAATTAGCTCTCTTTTGTCAGACTTCACATGGGCACCAGAAAATAGTTCCTTAGTATTTACTATTTTTTAAAAGTCTTCCAGTTTTAAAGCACCCCTGATTTTAAGGGAGTCAAGTATAGAAAGCATTTGCTGAACCCTTCCACCTCTTTTCTATAATTTTATTATCAAAGCAAAAAAAAAATGGAAAAGGTTTGGGTAAACAGTTATTTTTAAGGTCTTCTTGGTTCAACCATACATATACATTTTGAATCCCTGTTTTCAAAACACTCAACTTATTTATAATCCCTTGGCCTATAATTTAAACACAAATACACACTGATTGGTTTACATTGATTGATTTACATGTTGGGGGGATGTTTTTTAGTGTCCTCTATTGAAGATGGTGTTTTAAGCATTATATATATTTATATTTGAAAACTTTAGAAGCTTTTAACAAGCAGGGTGGAAACTCCTTTTGGTTTTGCTTTCTCTCTTAAAGTGACTCTAGAGTGGCCATGATGAACTGTAGTGTTATTCCATTAAAACATCATCATATAACGTTGAGGTCGCATGAGAGCAGTACTAAAGATCTAGTGAACACAGTGATTTCTATATCACACCAGTTACTCTCCATCCTCCTCCTGGCATGGCTGGGGGACCAGCCCAGTTCTGTTACTTTACAGCTTACAGAAGGGAGAAACTACTAGCACAGAATCTCAAAGCAATGCCCTCACCATTACCATTGGTAAAAAAAAATATTAATAATAATAATTCAGCACTTCCAATTAAAGGCAAAGTTTGTGATAACTGATTACTGTTTATTCTTTATGAGCTAACAGTCCTTGAAACCATAAGTTACATGTAAGATAACTGGTGAACTGAGTTAATGTGATTAAAAATAAACCAAGCTATAAAGACTACTTTGGAGTTAATACTATAGCAAAAAAAATTTCTTCAAAGTCATAGTGTTTTGAAACTTTCAACATTTAAGTTTTAATAACTTAGAATATATGTATGAAAGAGATCATCTGCCGTTTTTCTGAAAATGAGAATGCACTTTTCTTTTCCTAGCAACTATGAACTTCAGTTCAAGGATTGCCTTATCTTGCAGAGTAACCATTTTTTGCTTATCTGAAACAATGATACACTTTGTACACTTAGACACTGAACAACATGTAAGAAGCCAAGAGACAATCCCCATAGATGGTCCCTTTTGCATGTTAGTTGTCTCATGCAGGTTTTCCCACCTCCGCTGAAGTTTATCTTTGTTTTATGAATTATAAAAGTAACATATACTCATGGTGAAAAAAATCAAGACATAGAAGTATATACTATAGAAAATGAAAGTGTCCTGCCCTCTCTCCACCTAGTTGCCTTTCTCATTTGGCACATACAACACTATTATTTTTGTTGGCTGCCTACAAAGTCAGGTGTTAGTGAGCACTGAGGTTTTTGTGTTTTTTTCCATTTATTTTTATTGGAGGCTAATTACTTTACATCATTGCAGTGGTTTTTGTCATAGATGGAAATGAATTAGCTATGGATTTACATGTGTTCCCCATCCCGGTCCCCCCTCCCACCTCCCTCTCCACCCGATCCCTCTGGGTCTTCCCAGTGCACCAGGCCCGAGCACTTGTCTCATGCACCCAACCTGGGCTGGTGATCTGTTTCACCCTAGATAATATACGTGTTTCGATGCTGTTCTCTTGAAACATCCCACCCTCGCCTTCTCCCAGAGTCCACAAGTCCGTTCTATACATCTGAGTCTCTTTTTCTGTTTTGCATATAGGGTTATCGTTACCATCTTTCTAAATTCCATATATATGTGTTAGTATACTGTAATGGTCTTTATCTTTCTGGCTTACTTCGCTCTGTATTATGGGCTCCAGTTTCATCCATCTCATTAGAACTGATTCAAATGAATTCTTTTTAATGGCTGAGTAATATTCCATGGTGTATATGTACCACAGCTTCCTCATCCATTCGTCTGCTGATGGGCATCTAGGTTGCTTCCATGTCCTGGCTATTATAAACAAGCACTGAGGTATTTAATCAATCCTTACTGTGAGATATCTAAACCATTTCTAACTGCATGCCAACAGACAGTGCAGTGAATATCCTTCTGCTCTTCTCTGTTGTGCTATATGATGAATTTCTAAAGATATAATCACTGGGTCAAAGGATATGTACATTTTAAATATTGATACTTTGCTAACTTCAACCACAATTTGACAAGAGTTGAACAGCAAATGTTCAACAATAAGATCATTTTTATATTCTTAAAGCATGCATGAATGTGAAAACCACTCAGTCATGTCTGACTCTTTGTGACCCCATGGACTATACAGTCCATGGAATTCTTCAAGCCAGAATACTGGAGTGGGTAGCTGTCCCTTCTCCAAGGGATCTCCCAATCCAGCCATCAAACCCAGGCCTCCCACATTGCAGGTATGTTCTATACCAGCTGCGTCACCAGGGAAGCCCAAAGCATGCATATAACAATGCCTAGTTTTGCTACTTGAAAGACAGTTTGTATGCACTATTTAGAATATAATTTTGTCTAAAATTTTAATTCATCTCCAAGTGCTGCTTAGTGCTCTGAAGACTACATTTCTAGAAAATACATCCCGAGTATAGTCATTTGTAAAGTAGTTGTCAAGAAATTTTGAGAGTGATAATACTTTTATAAAGGATACACTGTTACACCCCAAAAGTGCTAAGGCAGTTTTAAGGCTCCTAGTTAAAATTTTAAAGTTTTTTACTAGTAAAACATGTTTTTGTTTTAGGAACTGGAACAGTACAAAAGAAGTTCTTCCAAGTCTTGGAAACAAATTGAGCTTGATTCCTGAACCTAATTCAACTGTAATGTAACCTATTTCTTCTTTTCCAAATACAAGTAATATTTTATTAGTTAATATTACAGTAATAAGGGAGGAAAGTTTAGATGTATAATTTATTAAAGGAAAAGTGGAATTGTTTGTCTTAGTGCAACTCCTGAGATACTTTTAAGTCTCTTTAAAAAATCATATAATTACATGTAATATTTTTTAAATAAAAAGAATCTTTCAGGACCTACCTTTAACATGTTTTTAAATAGTATATACTTGGTTCAGTGTCTATAAGTTTCTGCTTATGTTTTCAGGAATATGAAAATAGGAGCATTTAGTAACAGTTGTAGGTATAACCTTAAGCATTTATATTAGACACATTCCTTCTCTAAGGCATTCTCAGCTATGTCTGGTAGGAAAGCGGAATTGGGGTTACTTTCACAGGTACCATCATTTTACTCTTAATTAATGGTGAGGCACAAGAAGCATCTGAAGTATTTATTTAAAAGGCACATACCTGAGGAGCAGTTCAGATGGTGGAGTAGTAGAACATGAAGCTCCCCTTTTCCCACAAGTGCAAAAATACATCTACATGTGGAAGGGGTCTTACAGAATATCTACTGAACACTGGCAGAATACCGCAGACTGCTGAAAGAGTGAGAAAATCTCCAGGTAACCGGACAGGAAAAAAGATTAAAAAGAAAATGAGAACGGAATCGGGATGGGACCTGCACCCCTGAGAGGGAGCTGTGGAAGAGGAAGGGTTCCTGTACCCTGGGAAGCCCCCTCACCAGCGAGATCTGCCGGGGCAGAAGGGGAGCTTCAGAGCCTCAAAGGAGAACGCAGCAGCCAGGGTAGAGGGAGAACTGTCCAGATGGTCATGGTGGCAATCTGAAGCTCAGGTCTGCCAGTGTGGGCAGGGGAGGTGTTAGAACTCAGGCTTCAGAGATCAGACCTGGAGAGAGGACTAAGATTGGCTGTGCAGAAACAGCCTGGGAGATGATGCTGGAATCTAGTGTGACCACAACTGAGGGTGTACTGAGGAAGCCCAGGCCATCTTAGAGGCCAGGTGTCATTGTTTGGGGGCGGGATCCACCACTGTAGCCTTTTTCTTTGTGCACAAACTCACAGAGGACAGGATACAACCTGCACTGGCTCCAGGGTTGGTTACAAACCACCACCACCGCCTCCCTTGCAAACGCTAGCAGTGATTGTGAACTGCCTCCACTCCCGTTGCCTGCTCCAGGGGTGCATCTGAGCCACCCCCACCACCCAGGCCCCCAGGGCTGGGCACCAGCGGCTGCATCTGCACACTCCCTGTCAAGGTGATAACAACCAGCACATGCTGAGGAAAGACACAACAGGCATCCACACTAAAAACAGCCCTCGTACCAAATACAGTAAATCCATACAAGCTAGACAAGGACAAGCCAACATGTAAACAGCCCTTCAAGACAACAGTAGATAATTGTTTCTTCTAAACTCAAAGTAAAAGAAATACAAGTAAAATGAAGACCTAGAGGAACCACTCCCAGGTAAAAGACCAAGAGAAATCTCCTGAAAGAATAATGAAACAGGCCTCTGCAGTCTAATAGATACCAATTTCAAAAAGGAGATAATGAAAATACTAAAGGCAGCAAGAGAAAAACAGGAAAAGAGTTACAAGGGAACCCCTATAAGGCTCTTAGCTGATTTCTGTACAGAAATATTGCAGGCCAAAATCAAAGCTACAATGAGCCATCTTCTCACACTGGCCAGAATGGCCATCATCAAAAAGTCTACAAGCAATAAATGCTGGAGAGGATGTGGAGAAAGGGAACCCTCTTTCACTGTTGGTGGGAATGCAAATTGATAACAGCCACTGTGGAGTACAGTATGGAGATTTCTTTAAAAACTAGAATAAAACTACCATACGACCCAGCAATCCCACTACTGGGCATAAACCCTGAGGAAACCATAATTGAAAATGACACATGTACCCCAATGTTCATTCCTGCACTGTTTACAATACCTAGGACATGGAAGAAATCTAGATGTCCATTGACAAATGAATGGTTAATGAAGTTGTGTTACATATACATGATGGAATATTACCTTTCTATGAAAAGGAACACATTTGAGTCAGTTCTAGTGAGGTGGATGAACCTGGAGTCTATTATACAAAGTGAAGTTAGAGAAAGACAAATACTGTATATTAACACACATATATGGCATCTAGACAAGATAGTACCTATGATCCTACATGCGGGGCAACAAAGGAGACACAGACATAAAGAACAGACTTTTGGACACACTGGGGGAAGGAGAGGGTGGGATAATTTGAAAGAATAGCATTAAAACATATACATTTCATATGTAAAACAAATAGCCAGTGGGAGTTTGATGTATGACGCAGGAAACCCAAAGCGCATGCTCTGTGACAACCTAGAGGGATGGGGTGGGGAGGGAAGGGGGAGGAGGGTTCAGGAGGGAAGGGACATATATATACCTATGGCTGATTCACGATGATGTATGGCAAAAACCATCACAATATTGTAATTATCCTCCAATTAAAAATTTAAAAAATTGCAGGCCAGAGGGGCGTGGCAAGATACATTCAAAATACTGAAAGGGAAAAATCTGTAATCTAGAATACTCTGCTCAGCAAGATTATTATTTAAAATAGGAGAGAAAGAATTTCTCAGACAAGCGAAAACTAAAAGAATACAGCAATACTAAGCCTATCTTAAAGGAAATACTGAAAGGTCTTCTTTAAATAGAAAAGAAGAAAGAATCTGTAGGAAAAAGAAAATCACAGTTGGAAACTAAATCACTTAAATAATCCAGTACACAATTTAAAAAATTCTATGAAAGTGATGATAAACCACAATGAACAGCAAAAGGATGAACATGAAGATGTTAAAAGAGTACATCAAAATCATAAAATGTGGGGAAGGAGAATAAGAACATATAGTTTTGTTTTCCCCTAGAATGTGTTTGAGTCTATATGACTACCAATTCAAAGCAAGTAGATATGGAAAGGGATTAACATACTTGAAGAACGGGGTAGCCACAAATCAGAAACATACAGTAGATTCATAAAATAGCAAAAAGAAGAGCACGTAAGTATAATACAAAAGAAATAAACCATAAAAGGGAAAAGAAGAAATACAGTCAATGATAAAACAAAGTTTAAAATGGCAATAAATACATAGCTTGAATACATATGTGTCAATAATTACCTTAAATGTCAATGGACTAAATGCTTCAATCAAATGACACAGGGTGGCAAATTGAATAAAAAACATGAGCCTACAATATGCTGCCTACAAGAGTCCCACTCTAGGGCAACAGACACACATAGATTGAAAGTGAAGGGATGGGGAAAGATTTCATGCAAATGGAAAAGACAAAAAAACAGGGGTCTCAATACTCATATCAAAACAGACTTTAAAACAAGGGCAATAAAGAAAAAGAAGGACACTAGACAATGATAAAAGGATCAGTCCAAGAGGATTTTACACTTGTCAGTCTAGATGCACCTAATGTAGGAGTACCCTAATACCTAAATACTAACAGACATAATGGGAGAAAAGACAGGAATACAATAAGTAGGACACTTGAACACCTCACTCATATCGATGGACAGATCTTCTAGACAGAGTAAGTGACAAAGATCATAGTGATACAATAGAACAGTTAGACTTAATTGACATTATCAGGACATTACATCCAAAAAACCCCACAGAATACACAATCTTTTCTAGTGCACATGGAACATTCTCTAGGACTGACCACATACTGGGCTTCCCTGGTGACTCAGCTGGTAAAGAATCTACCTGCAATGCAGGAGACCTGCGTTCTATTCCTGGGTTGGGAGGATCCCCTGGAGAAAGGAATAGCTACCCACTCCAGTATTCTGGCCACATACTAGGGCACAAAGCAAGCCTCAACAAACTTAAGGGTATAGAAATTACCTCAGGTGTCTTTTCTGACCACAAAAACATAGAACTAGAAATTAACCACAGAAAAAGAAACAAGAAAAAAATATTACATGGAGATTAAACAACATGCTACTAAAAAACCAATCGGTCATCAATGAAAGTAATTAAAAAATACCTTAAGGCAAATGACAATGAAAACACAGCCATACAAAATCAATAGGATGTAGCAAAAACAGTTCTGAGACAAGTTCATAGTAATACAAGGCCTTCCAAAGAAAAAAAAAAGAAAAATCTCAAGTAACCTAATCTACCATTTAAAAGAATCAAAAAGGAAGAACAAACAAAACCTAAAGTCAGAGGTAGGAAATAATAAAGATCAGAGAGAAAATAAAAGATCTTAACAAATAGAATCAATAAAACCAAGAGCAAGTTCTTTGAAAGGATAAATAAGATTTACACATCTCTGGCCAGGCTCGCCAAGACAAAAAGAGAGAGAACCCAAATAAACACATTAAGAAATTTAAAAAGAAACATAACAGCTGATTCCACAAAAACAGAAATATGGATCATTGGCACAAAATAGCCCAGAAATAAACCCACACACCTGTGGCCAATTAATCTTTGACAAAGGAGGCCTGTGTATGTGCTAAGTCATTTTAGTCCTGTCTGACTCTTTGCAACCCTGTGAACTGTAGCTTATCAGGCTCCTCTGTCCATGGAATTCTCCAGGCAAGAATACTAGAGTGGGTTGCTGTGCTATCCTCCAGGAGAAGCCATACAATGGGAAAAAGACAGTGTCTTCAGCAAGTGGTGTTGAGAAAGTTGGACAACCACGTGTAAATGTAGTTACAACACACGCTGTCACCATACACACACACACACACAAATCAAAACGGCTTAAAGACTTAAACATAAGACATGACACCATAAAACTCCTAGAAAAGATCATAGGCAAAACATTCTCTGGCATAAATCATACCAATGTTTTCTTAGGTCAGTCTCCCAAAGCAATAGAAATAAAAACAAAACTAAACAAATGGGACCTAATCAAAGTTACAAGCTTTTGAACAGTAAAAGAAACCACAAACAAAATGAAAA